TCCTCCTCCTCCTCCTCCTCCTCCTCCTCCTCCTCCTCCTCCTCCTCTGTTTATATTCTCCTCCTCTTCCTCTTTTTCCTGCTGCTGTCCCCACCACACTCTCTCCTAACACTGATGACATTACCTGCTTGGGTAATAAAACGTCTGCAAGAAAACAACCAAGCTCAGAGAGCGCCAGAAACCCCCACAGTTGTCCACCTCTTCCTTCTATCTTCCTCCCCCTCCACTCCTCCCCCTCTTCTTCTTCTTCTTCCTCCTCATCCCTTCTGCAAACACCCCTCTTTTCCAGCACTGATGATGTTCCCTAGTTGGGTACTGAAACATCTGAAAGAAAACAGTTGAGAGATCATCCAGGACTCCATATTCCTCTTCCTCCTCCTCCCTCCCTCCCTTCTCCTCCCCCCCTCCTGCTGCTGTCCACAAAGCTCACTCCCTTTTAGCACTGATGATGTTACCTACTTGGGTAATAAAACGTCTGCAAGTAAACAGCCAAGCTCAGAGAGCACCGGGGATTCCTCCACCCAGCCCACATTCCACCCCAAAGACCAGGCCCATCCCTTCCCATGTCAAGGAGAGGTTGAGGGAAAGGGAGCTCGGTGGGCAGCCTAATGACAGGATGGATCCAAGGAATGATGGGGCATCTCTGGACGTGGCCTCACCGTCTTATTCTGCTTCTTCTGTCCCAGTGGGAGAAGAAGAAGAGGTGTCCATACGAGAAGCCGCTGAATGCATCGCGAAAGCCATGGACTTCAAGGGACAACTCCTGGTATCCTTTGTCAATGATTCCCCAGGCATCGGAGCTGTTAGGGATATACCCTAGCAGAATGTGCACAGCAGTCAGGCAGTCAGGCGAATATGAGAGAAAACGTTTTTTTAGTTTACACACTCAGTAAAAACGGATACACTGTCTTAGTTGAATAGTTTATTCCATTAAGAGTTTAGCAGGGTCAAACAGTCCAAATATCATTCACTAGTGTTCAGTCAGTTCAGTCCGGAGATTGTTCAATTGCAAAAATCCAGTGTCGAAAAAAAGGTCAGTTGACTTACAATGTCAATCCATAAATCAGTCCAGTAAATATCTTCTCACAGTAGATTAGATGTGCAGCATTCAAAACTCTTTCCTCCTTCGACGTCAGCAACAGGGAACACGCCGAACAATCAACCATCAATCCAGTAGCAATCCAGGTTCTCTAGCTCCCTCTTATGGCAGTTTCTCAACCGCACCCAAATTATATCATTCAGAGTTTAAAGTGAAAAACACATTTAAACTTTGCTATCATGGTTTATATATTATTTACCCAAACAACGTTAGGTAACTATGGTTATTCCTAACAGGAGCAGACCAAAATCTCAGGTCCTTTCTACAGTACGGATACTCCTTGATTTACGACATAATTTCCATTGCTAAGCAATGGAAAGTCTATGGAGATTCTCAGTCATCCAAGTCATAGATATCCTGCGGATGCTTTTTTCCAAGAGGCAACTGGACTTCCTTGTTTTTTTCTTTGAAGATGTTTCACTTCTCCTCCAAGAAGCTTCTTCAGCTCTGCCTGGATGGTGGGGAAGGGAAGGATTTATACTCCTTGCAGACCCAGCTGGTCATTTGCATCCTTTGAGAGGGTCGTTGAGGCCAATTGGAGGTTTGCCTGAGTCCTCAGGGTCACCTGAGTGGTGCAAATGGTTCTTGTAGTCTGCAATTACTAAAAAATTAGGAACACTACTCAGCTGACCCTGAGGACACAGATAAACCGCCAAGTTCTTTGAAGATGTTTCACTTCTCATCCAAGAAGGCTTCTGCATGCTTCTACAAGCTTTGTAGGCCGAAAACTAGCCCTGTTTAGTCACTTCCGGTATTTTCAGAAAAACAGGAAGTGACGAAACGGGGCTAGTTTTCGGCCTGCAAAGCTTGCAGAAGCCTTCCTCAAGCCTTTGGGAGGCCGAAAAAGGCCTCAAACCCGCCGAAAATCAGGTGTGAGGCGTAGTGCAGGTAAGGGGGCAGCGGGGGAGGGGGGTGGGGATTGCATGCACATGCATAAAGGGCGTGGGGGGCATGCATTGCCTTCTTGCCAGCCCAAGCATGCCAGTGTGAACACAATTTTTGGCACAGGAACCCCAAAAGGTTAGCCACCACTGCTGTAGGGTTCCTGTCTGAGCGGAGGGGCTGGACTAGAAGACCTCCACTCTGGTTCTGACTCATCAAATTTGAGTTTCTGGGATGGATCAAGAACAGCCACTTCTTGGCCCAACATAATCAGCAAGAATAAATCCTTCCATTCTTCACCATCCAGTCAGAGCTGAAGAAGCTTCTTGGATGAGAAGTGAAACATCTTTAAAGAAAAAAACGAGAAAGTCCAGGTGAAAAAGCACCTTTAGGACCTGGATGGCCGAGAATCACCATAGACACCATAGACTTTTAGCTATACAATTTGGGATGAAGACCCTTGGAATGGTGTGGGGGTAGGAATGGATTTCCAGAAGGAAAAAAAGAAACCAGGATCATCACTCAGGTGACCCTGAGAGGACACAGATAAACCTCCAAGTGGCCTCAATGACTCTCTAAAAAGATGCAAATGACCGGCTGTCTGCAAGGAGCATCAATCCTTCCATTCCCCACCATCCAGGCAGAGCTAAAGAAGCTTCTTGGAGGGGAAACAAAACTTCTTTAAAGAAAAAAAACCAGAAAATCCAATTGCCCCCTGAAAAATAGCACCTTTGGGACACACATCAAGTTCTCAGGATTTGGAAACACAAGTTGTCAGTTGTTTCTGTAGACATCTGTCACATGTTCCCAAAAGCTCCCATTCTCTCTATGAACCACAGCCCTGCAAGGTGGCCACCTAGTCCCACCTTCCAAAACTCTGGGTGAAGTTTTTAATCCTACAAACTGCCTGTGATGACCTGGGGCGCGGCATAGAGATAACACAGGCAGCTGGCAGTTCAAACCGCCCCTTTATTGCTCCAAATTTTGCCAAACGCTCCCAAATTTCTGGCAAGTCCCAGAGGAAAGTGAGGATTAATTCCTACACATATCTCAAGCAGACTCTGGCTGCAAATAGTCCAGCCCAATGCTGTGTACGCCAAGGCTGCACAGCAATAAATCCAGCAGGGCAAATCTAGGAGTTCAGGAAGCAAAGGATCCAGGTGATTAGTCCAGAAAGCCAGAAAGAATGCAAGGACCCTTGGAAAGTTGAGACATTGGCACTCAACACTTCAGGGACTCAGCGTTTGTTCCCGACAAATGTGTTGTGGTCCGTCGGACAGTGGGAAGGAACATGGGCCAGTCCAGGAGTCTGGGGAGAGCTCAGACGAGGGATCTGAGTTCGACACAGAGATGGGGCCAGGGCCAACCGAGAGTTATGTGCCAACTCCGGAGCCTCCAGAATCTGAGAGCAGCGAGGCAGAGGAACAGGGGGAGCCTGTTGCCAGTGTGTGCTTGCACAGAGCTGCCAGAAGGCAAGAACAGCTAAGACAAAAGGAGCGACTGGGGAGTAAGGCTTGGAGATGATTGGCCTCTCCCATAAGACATAAAGGAGGAGAAAAGGGACAGGAGCCTTTGCAGGAAGCAACTTTGTTCGTTCTGGTCAGTTTAAACTCTGAAGCTCCGTGTCGACTTTGTGCTCCGTTTAGCCTTGTAGTACAGCTAATGGGCAATTTAGTCATTGGCAGCATTTCAAGAGAGATAAAGGTGGGTGCTTATCAGCCTTATCCCGAAGGACTGTGGCAGAACTTCTATTGGACGATTCATCAACTGTTTGGGACACATTACGGGCTGGGAATGCATATAATTCACAGCCGTTGAAATAAAAACAAAGGTTTTGGGGAACAGTGTGTGATTGTTACTGTCTCAGGAAGCCTTGGTAAAAACAAAATGCCCCTCCCTACAGTGTATCCTTAAGCCTCATTCCCCAGATGTGCCTTGTGAAGAGGGGCGTTCTCCAGAGTAGCTGGCTCAGTCTGCACTGTTCTCGCCTTCTCTCCACTCTCCATGCTCTCGGATCAGGAGGGGACGGTCCCTGCTCCTCACCTGAGCTCTTGTGTCTCCTGTTCCTCCCTGACTACAAGCTGTCCTAATCCTGAAAGGCCCTTCCCCATTTTCCTCCAACGCCAACAAAGCCGCCCCCTCAATCTCTTGTTGGCTCAAGTTCCAGGTATGATCTGTCTTAAGATTGATCTTAGGGTCCTTTTCTTTAACCTCATCCCCTACTTTGAGTTTGACGAATCCAAATCAGATGGTCAGTTCAAGAAAACGGCCAGCAACGCCAAGCTGAGGAAATATCTGCCTGACTTCCAGTTCACACCGTTCAATCAAGGTAAGATAACCACGTCCGATGAGGCCTCTTGGGTCATGAGGCCTTGGGAGATTTGGCCAAATTGGGAGTGGATCTCCTTCACCCAATGAAGGTGTCCCGATCATGTTGAAGACAACCCAAACACAACAGCCCTGAGAATTACAATTGGATGTCACATTGGTCCATGGCTGCCTAGTCCTCCTTTGTGCATTGGTTACAACGGGCTGTACAATTGTGCAAAGCTGACATTACCAGGAAAATCCTATATCATCTATATCTATCATCTTATCTATCTATCTATCTATCTATCTATCTATCTATCTAATCATCTCTCTCTCATCTATATCTCTATCCATCCTCTATTCTCTTCCCTTTTACTGCACTCCATTCTGTATTTTATTGTATTGTATTGTATTCCAATTTGTATTCCAATTTCTATTGCAAGTTTTATTGTTCTGTTCTATTCCAATTTCTATTCTATTCTATTCTTTTCCTATTCTATTCTATTCTTTTCCTATTCTATTCTATTCTATTCTATTCTATTCTATTCTATTCTATTCTATATTCTGTTCTATTCTACTCTACTCCAATTTTTATCCTATTCTACTCCAATTTCTATTCTATTCTTTCCCTATTCTATTATACTCTATTCCAATTTCTATTCTATTCCAATTTCTATTCTATTTGAATTTCTATTCCAATTTCTATTCCATTCCATTCCATACTCTACTCTACTCTATCCCATATTTTATTCATTCTTTTCCATTCCATTCAGCAAATCAGAACATATTTTTCTCCAGCTGGAGTCTTCCCAAATCCCACTTGTAAAACTCGTGACAAAATTCCAAATTAGCCAAAAATTCACCCCTGCGGAAGGCTGCCCCTCAACTTTTCCTGCTCAGGGAGGGGAAAATATGGTTCTGTCCCTTCTTTGGATTTCATTGCCTCCGTGTCGTCTTCTCTCTCCCCTGCAGCGGTGAAGGATATGTGCGACTGGTTCTCCGCTAATTACGACCGCGCCCGGAAATGATCGAAGGGCGCCCACGATGGTAGTACCTTAAATAGGGGCCGCTGCACCCTCATCTCAATCTCAGGTAGCTTTTTGGTGAAGGAGGAGAAGAAAAAAAATAAAAGAAAACCCGCGTAGAGTACCAAAACCAGATCTGTTTCTGTTTCTTTTTTTTAACAAAGCAAAAAACTCGGCTTCACTTTGGCCATTTAAAGGCGGACATTGTATAGTTAAGCAAAAAACTGGGCGTGTCAGCAAAACCCATCTCCAGGAAGTCCTCGACTTACAGCTGTGCATTTAGGGACCGTTCAAACCTATAACAGCACTGACGTACACCCGTGATTGTAGCATTCCCAACGATCATCGTGTGGTTCAAGTTCAGACGCTTGGCGATTGATTCATACTTACGACCGTTACTGTGTCCTGGGGTGGGGGCTGGTGGCTTTGGCAACACTCGCTGTATAAGATGTACAGACATTTCCACCCACTTTTGGGGGTGGAAAAAGTGCATCTTATACTCTGGAAAATACGGTAAATCAAACTTATCAGGAATAAGCTGGCAATTAGCATTATCCCAAGCTCAAGAGACCTGCCAGATGTTGCTAAGGGACTTTCCTGCATCAAACAGCTGCTGTTGATGCTTCCAGCAAGAACAGCTGGAGGGCTGGGAACAAAGCTTGTGTTTTGCTCATGGTGCCACAAAAATACAGTGGTGCCACAATCCTTTTCAGAGGACTGATAGAATCGAGCTGGAAGGGACCTTGGAGGTCTTCTAGTCCAGCCCCCTGCTCAAGCAGCAGACCCTACATCATTTCAGACAAGTAGTTGTCAAATCTCTGGTTCATTGTCCATGTTGTTAGGAAATTTCTCCTTAATTCCAAGTTGCTTCTCTCCTTGATTAGTTTCCATCCCTTGTTTCTTGTCCTGCCTTCCTGGTGTTTTGGAAAATAAGTTGACCCCCCTCTTCTTTGTGACAGCCCCTTAAATATGGGAACCCCACTATCATGTCACCCCAATCCTTCTTTCCTATAGACTAACCAAGCCCAAATCCTGCAGCTGTTCTTCGTATGTTTTAGTATCCGGGCCTTTAATCATCCTAGTTGCTCTTTGCACTTTTTCCAAAGTCTCAACATCTTTTTTTTGTAACGTGGTAACCAAAACTGGATGCAGCGCTCCAGGTGTGGCCAAACTAAGGCTTTACAAAGCAGTACTAATACTCCATCTGATTTTAATTCTATGCCTCTATTTATACAACCAAGAATCGCATTGGCTTTTTTGGCTGCTGCTGCACACGGCTGGCTTGTGCTTAAATGATCGTCCATTAAGAGTCCCAGATCCTAGATTTTAAATCTGTCACCCAGAGATCTTTTATTCAGAAGTGGCATTTCCTAGTTAAGGAAGAGGAGAAAAACCAAAAGGACACATATAGACTGGGTGAAACCAGGCTCAACAGCAGTCACTGGGAGAGGGATCTTGGAGTCCTCGTGGACAATTACTTAAATATGAGCCAGCCGTGTGCAGCAGCAGCCAAAAAAGCTAACTCAATCCTAAGTTGCATTAACAGAGGGAAACAATCGAGATCAAGGGAGGTACTAATACCACTCTATAAAGCCTTAGTAAGACCACACCTAGAGTACTGCATCCAGTTTTGGTCACCACACCATAAAAAAGATGTTGAGATGCTAGAAAAAGTGCAGAGAAGAGCAACCAGGATGATGAGGGGACTGGAGATTAAAACATACAATGAATGGTTGCAGGAACTGGGCTAGTCTAGTGAAGAGAAGGACCAGGGGAGACAGGATAGCGGTCTTCCAATATTTGAGGGGCTGCCACAGGGAGGAGGAGGAAGGGGTCAAGCTATTTTCTAAAGCGCCTGTAGGCCAGACAAGGAATAATGGGTGGAAACCGAACAAGGAGAGATTTAACCTGGAAATAAGGAGAAACTTTCTGACAATGAGAACAATCAACCAACGGAACAGAAGTTGCCCTCGGAAGTTGTGGGAGCGCCATCACTTGAGACTTTCAAGAAGAGATTGGATTAGATGACCTATAAGGTCCCTTCCAACTCCGATTACCTGTTTTCTGTTCGGAGGAGTCAGTCTTGGGAGAGAAAATCTGAAACGACCTTTGGATGTGCGATTGGTAGGTAGCACTGAAGTCCTACAAGGAAGGTACAGATGATCTGAATTCAAAATAGAGACAATTTGTTTAGTGACCAGTCCAAGTTGCAACACAGCACTGAAAAAGTGACTTAGGACTGGTGTTTTTCACTTACGACCGTTGCAGCCTCCCCAGGGTCATGTGATCAAACTTCAGACACTTGACGGCTGACTCACATTTTTGACAGCTGCAGTGTCTTGAGTGTCAACTCATAAAATATTTCTCTGGTCTTTTCAGAGTTGCCAACAGAAAGGGGGGGGAGCAGTGCAGCAGTTTGCAAAGCGAAAGCGCATTTCATAAATGTTTTCAAAGATAGTCACTAGGTGACTGAAGTTTCTGCTGGGAAAAATTCTAACTGGAGAGCATGATTGATGACTCTTGGCTATGGATTCTTCCCATTGGAGAATATGAATTATGATACAGCCAGGGGGTGGAGGGAAAACCAGGGTCAAGGGTGACAATGAATGATGTGTCTCAGAGTCGTCTACACCCAGGAAGCGCCGGCATGTTTACTTCTAATAAATGTTTTAAGTTTTGGAAATTCAGCTAGAGATTTATGATTGAAATGGGGGTAACTGCCAGAGCCCTGATAGCTAGCCGACACCGGAGTTGTGTGGTCCCCTTTTGCGACCTTCTGACAACCAAAATCCAAGGGGAAGCCAGATTTCACTTAACAACCGTGTCACTCCCTAACCATCGCTTAACCATTGGGGCAAGAAAGGTGTTGTGACTCGGAGGTTTGAGCCTGCTCTGTTAGAAGACACAGGCTCGAGTAATGAGGAAGAGGAGGATTTGGCTCTGAGGTTTGAGCCTGCTTTGCTGGAGGATTCGGAATTGCCTTCCTCCCCAGGACCTTCCTCCCTGGTTGTGCCTCAGGTGTCGGCAGTTAATCAGGAGAGAGTGCCGGAGTCCTTGGCTGAGGATCAAGCCGAGGAATGCTGGTTTGATGCAAGGCAAAGACGCAGGCAGAAGCGTGAAATACAACGTAAAAGGAAATGTCAAATCAGGGACTGACTTGAGAGACTGACACGCCCCTCAGGAAATAAAAGAGGGCGTGTTAGCTCGGAATACTCGTTCCGGGACAATTTGTTTATTTGGAATAGAAGCTTTGACAAATTCTCTGTGTGGCGTTTGCCTTTGATTTATGGTCTTGTCTTGTTATCGGACTTGGCAGGCAGCTTTTGGAAGACTGCCAAGGACTTCTCCAGCCAAAGGAATTTAACTCTGTCGTTCCTGGTCCTGTCTGTTTATTTATATTCCTTTGGAAATTTGGACTCTCACCTCGTGGTCACAGGTGAGACAGAACAAAAGGTCATTAAATGGGACCAAAATTCACTTAACAAATGTCTCTTAGCAATTTTAAATTCTAGGCTCAATTGGGGTCCATACGTCAAGGGCTGTACTAATTTAACCGCAGTGATTCACTTAACGACAGTGGGAAGAAAGGTCATAAAGTGGGGCAAAACTCACTCCACAAACGTCTCACCGGACAGCGGAAATGTGGGTTTCAATTGTGGCCGTTTAATTTTATTTTTCACGAATTTTATTTGTAATTTTATTTTTCACACGAGTTTCACGAATGAAGGCGAATAGATTTTTTAAAAAATTTTGCTTATTGCCTTGGCTGCATTATTATTTATTTTTTAAAAAACATGTTTATTCAGCATACACACACACACAGCAATTATCAAATTTTAAAAAAGAAGGCACTATAGACTTGTTAGCCAAGCATTTTTTGGGGTGGGTCAGCGGTAAAAATTTCCCCGTCAGCTAAAACTGTCATTGGAGCAGGATTCCAACCAGACTTGAATTTGGATTTTCTTTCTGTTGTTCTTTTTTTTTTTGGGGGTGGGGGGGAGGATATCCAAAAGTGGAAAGTTATATCTTCAAGGGGGGAAAGGGTTTAGGTTTAGGGTTTTTTAAACATTTAAAACTAAATGTTTAAATGGGACAGCTGCCATGTCGCCTCTTAAGAAAAACTGTCGCTTTTTGAAAAGTGCCTTCAGTTTAAACGTAGGCATGAAAAACTGGAGCAGAATGTTCATTGTCCTTAACCCCAATACATCAGGGCATTATTTGAAACTAGATTCTTCAGCAGGGTACAAATGTTGAACCAAGAGGGATCGATGTTATTCCCCTGAAAATGGGCTTTGGGTCTTGGCCTGGAAGCCCTTAAGCTTTGAGTCCACCAGAATTGCAACAAGTAGGAAAGGCAGAGATCCTTGCTGGATCAAGCCAGGTGGCTCTGTCCGGCCACGTGTAAGTGGCAGAAGAGGTGGTCGGTGAGGGCTTTTTTCCGGCATGGGTGACCACTCCTGGTGACCCCTTGGCAGAAAGGCCTAGGAGAAGCTGAGCAGCTGGACCTGCAGTGGAGAAAAATGGGACGTGAGAATTGCACCTGGGTATCTGCTCAGGAATTAAGCAAGCATTAGCTTGATTTCTCAAAGTCTTCCCAAAGTCA